TGGTATGGTTCAAGAGAGGGAGCCAGCATACTGTACTTGCCCTCCTCCTCCTCTCTCTTTCCTGGGATAAGGCTCTGGTATGAATATTGGGGGAACCCACTATTTTCTAGTTTTTTGAATGAAGCTTTCCATTAAAATTTATACCATTTTTGAAGGGTCTGGTATGGAATTTGGAGGGAACCCACATAGTTTTTTTTTGGGGGGGGGGGTTGCGTGAGGTCCCTCTTGACATCCCTACCAGACCCACATCAAGGATAAGAGTCTGGTATGTATTTTCTGGGGGGGGGGGAACCCAATGCTGTTTTTTTGTGTGGGGTCCCTCATTTATATCTATACCAGACCCTCATCTAGGATAAAGGTCTAGTATAGATGAAGGGAATTGCCAGCTGCTGTTTTGGTTGCAATTTGTTTTCTTTGTAAATGTCAGCTTTGCAGTAGCAGACTGTATACATTGTACACCTGAGTAAGTTTACAGGCAGATTTAGGCATCTCCCTGACCTATAATATAAAGGAATTCTGCAGGTTTATTGTTTTCCCATAAACATTATTAAAATTGCTAATCCCTGCCAAATTGAATAATTTACAATTTTTTATTTGCTTTGGTTCATTTTCATCAGGGGCAGTGCTCAGCCATGCTATTTGTTTGACAATTCCTTACATATTAGTATAAAATTACTATTACTGCTTTTTAACTTTCAGCTCCCATTGATTTAAGTTGGGTTTGCATTTAGGCCCTGAACTTTAGTCATGTTCAGTGAGCCTGCCCAAAACCAAGTTCACATATTTTTGGCTTACCACCGACCACCACTGAACTCCTGAGTTGACAACCTATAGGTAAAGGCTACCCCACACCATTCTGAACTCTGAGGATATTGCACCCCATGCCCCTCTCATGAAGCCGGTATAAAGGTGACAGATATGAAATAAGCAAACACCAATAAAGATAAGACTTTATACAAATCTATTTTATATCTTACATAGTCAAACGGACAGTTAGAAATGTGTTTGCTTGCTGCAATGCTCTCTGTTTACTATCCTCTCTATGTGCCTCTGTCAAGGCCAATTTATCAAGATCTGTTAATTGTGACCTTTATATTACAGAATGTTATTTTCATGAAAGAGTTCTCTAGAAACATCAATGTGCATTGCTTGGCACAAAGAAAGTCTTTTACAGTCTACCACGTACACTCAATGCCTATAAGCTAGGTAGATTTTTCTCATTGTTGCTTGTATTAGTCATATCTGTTGACATGTTTCACCTCGGAAATTGGCTTCTTGTTTGATGTACTGAAAAAATGCTGTAAATATACATGAGAGTTATGAGTGTAGCAATTTCAATATTCCATTCTAAACTAACAAGAACGCTGACTATTAATATAATAAACTGTCTAGGCTATATGAAAAAGGCAATTCAGATTCCAGGTAAAATAGATTTTGTGTTGCTATAAAACAAGTGGAACTTTATTACTGCCTTTTGAGAGTTTATGATAAACATAAGATAGAGCATATAAAGTTTTGGCTGCATTTAATGAATTTAAAGAACTCTACTATAAAGGTAGCTCCAGTAAAAAAAAAATAATTAAAAAAATATACTTATTGAAATGCAAAAATGGAGCACAGCCTTTATCAGTACTTTAGTTTTTCATTCAGGCATTAGTGTACTGCACCAGTCCTCTACACTACCTTTATTTTGTAACCTGACAATCTGAGAACCTCAACTTGTGTTGCAAGAGAAGGGTTCTCAAACCCTTTGCAGGCCCCTTTCTGCCTCTCATATACAAAAAGTGCAAAGTAATAAATTATCAGTAACAGCCGCCAGTCAGTTGTAAGAGTGCTTTAGGGATGTGAATGTAATTAATTATTCAGTATGTAGAGAAAGTACACAGTACAAAACTTCAGAAAGAACATTCCCAGTGACCATGTGAGGTGATCTCTTGGCTTCAGACAAGGCTAAATCAGTGATCTTTCTCCCCTTAGCACAGTTGTAGTCTTTACTGGATAGCATAGTTTTCTATATATATATTTGTAGCACTCTTAGTTAGCCAGGGGGAGCTAGCTGTTTTTTTTTCAGTCAGAAGGGCATAGCAGCCTGGGCAATAGTAAGCTGGGTCAAATTTTGGTCAGGGCTGAGAGGCTCTGCAAATCAGTTTTAATTCCTCTCCCTGCTCTGGAATCTTAGAGAGGACTCTAGAAGCAGTGGACAGGGTGAGCAGGGGTTAGTCTGCATACTCAAGGCACTCTGACCAATCCCCAAGCAGGAGGTTTGGCATGGGATTAGAGTAGCCCTTAAATATGTCTGAACATGCTCAGCAGCAGGAGAGTTCAGGTGGAAGATGTGAGGAAAGCTGAGATGCAGGAGCCTTGGAGGGGGACCAGTGGGAAGGCGCCTACCTACAGGCAGGAAGCTGGAATGGAGGATTGCTCAGCCTTGCTGGCCCAGAGAGTGAGGACCACTTGTATAGCCAGGAAAGGAGCCAGCCCAGCGGAAGGCCTGAAGGCAGCCACCTACCTAAATCAGCTCACAGAACAGAGATTGAGTGAGTAGTCCTACACCCCCTGGACCAGTTACCGATAAAAGAGCACTCTGGTGGTTAACTTGATTGGCTCCTTACCCAGAACTGTTTCATCTTACAGTGGCAGGCACTAGATCCCCTTGCCCAGGAATTCTCTGGATAAGAGGAAGATTATCTGGGGTGTGGAGCGGTACACAGGAGAGGCTGGAGAGCTCTCCAAGAACAGTTTCTGCTGTGTAAAGACTTGTACATAGTTGACAGTTTGTCCTCAAATCACTGTTCCTTGAGCATCTCATACACCCCTTACCCCCATCCAAGTTCAATACCCCTTAATAAAACCTAAAACCAAGCTCAAGGACTGTTTACTGACCCTGCGTGCAAGTGCGGAAGAAAAAATGCATTATGCCTGGCTGTGCAGGACAAAAGGGAACCTAGATCTAAGGGGTAGTGCTACATATCTGATAACTGGAAATTCTCTTTAAAAGCATGTTGCAAGCCCACTGTTACCTGCTCTTTTTGTTCTCGCTCTCGAACCGCTAGCTGCAGCCATTCGAAAACACCCGGATATTTCTGGTGTCCCCTATGCCAGCACTCAATACAAGGCCAACTTTTATGCGGATGATGCTCTTTTGGTTTTAACCAATCCTCTCATCACTCTCCCCAATCCCCAGGTCATATTGGACTGTTTTTTGGCTATATCTGGCCTTAGCATCAATTTGTCTAAAACCATGGCATTGAATATTACGCTCCCTGCCGACCTTCTTGAACGGTTGCAGACGCAATTTCCCTACCATTGGGCATCCCATTCCCTGGCTTATCTTGGCGTTACACTTACTACCTCCTACTCTGCCTTATTTTTGGCTAATTAATACTCCTTACTGCGCTCTGTTACTTCCCTACTTCATGCTTGCAGTTTCCTTCTTTATCATGGATTGGCCGGATACATGCTGTCAAGATGACCATCTTGCCGAAGATCCTGTACTTTTTTCGCACTCTCCCTATTCAGGTCCCTGTGTTTTTTCTTCGTCTACTGCAAAGCCAGATTCTCCATTTTATTTGGGCTCATAAACGTCCCAGAGTGCCTAGATCCACTTTGTTTACTCATAGACTACAGGGAGGTTTTGGAGTTCCACATGTTTCTAGATACTATTTGGTGGCTCAAATCTCCCAGTTGTCCATGCTTCATGCCACGACAGATATCCCGTTATATATGGGTACTCTTGGAATTACCCAACTGTGTTCCGCTTTCCTTAACTACATTTCTTTGGCTCCCGCCTAAGTTGCGCCCCTGGATTTGAGCCCTATCATGCTTCACAGTTTATGAACCTGGGATTCTGTTAAATATTCGGGTAATTTGATATCATCGTTTCTACCTCTTTTGCCAATTACGCATAATCCTTTATTTCCACCAGGCTTAGAACATCCCCCTTCTTTCTCTTGGTGGACCTCCCATGGCTTTGTTATTGTACATGATTTTCTGAGCGCTCAAATGTTTCCATCATGGGAATCTCTTCAAGAATCATGGGGGATCCCGCCACGGGAATATTTTTGGTATTTGAAATTGCGCCACTGGGTCCTGTCCCTCTGTTGTACCTCTACATATCCTTACTGTAAAACGCCCTTTGAACACGTCTGTCAACATTCCCCAGGGTCCCCTGGTCTCATTTCTGTAATTTATGCCTCTCTTAACAGTAGGTCCTCCTTACCACCCCTGTCTTATGTCTCTCAATGGGAACGAGATTTAGGTTTCTCAAGTGCGGCGGAGGAGTGGCGTGGGCCTGGGGGATGGTGGCGCAATGTTCCTTCAATACCGTCACTCTTGAGGCAGCCTACAAAAGTTTTCCTTCGGTGGTACTGGGTCCCGGCTCGGACTGCTCACTTTAATCCGACTGGCGGAGATAGGTGTGTCCGGAACTGTGGTCTACATGGGGACGTCTTGCACATTTGGTGGTCGTGCCTGCGATTGATAGGCTTCTGATCTAGGGTTTTTGGTTTGCTGCAAACGTTATTTCATATTACGGTGCATAGGGATGCAAGGGTGGCCCTCCTGCATTGCCCAATTTTTGGTCTGTTTAGGTCTCAGCAGAAATTGGCATCCTACCTATTTATTTCGGCCAAACTTGCTATAGCTCAAGCTTGGAGAACCCCTTTGGTTGTCTTCCAGGGGGTGAAGACCCGGATGAATGCTATGCTGATCAATGAACAGATGTCTGTCGTTCTTCAAGATTCTCATCCGAGATTCCTTAAGGTTTGGGAACTTGGATACGTTATTCCCTACCATCCCTGCCTTCTACTAGCTATGGCCTCTTATAGTCATTGCCTGTGCTAGCCCTGGATCCGTGACTCTTCTAGTCTTCCTTTCTTTCATGTTTTCTCTCTGAATCTTTCTTTCTTTCTTATTTCTTTCTATGTTTTTATATTTTCTTTTTCTTTTTTTCTATCAGTTTTGGGGGTTTTTTTCTTTTCTTTTTCCTTTCCTGTATGTTCTGAGTTGATATTTCTCGGTAGGGGTTTTCCCTCTTTGTTTTTTTTTTTCCGGTAATATGATGGATTGCTGCTGCTACTATTTGGTTCAGCTTTTTGCCATTCCTCCTTGATGTCATTGGATATTCCGTTATTTGGCTAATACACCCTGCTGACTTGTATCTGCTTATGTATGTTATTGTTCTGCTCTGCCCCTGCGTGGGTGTATCATGAGCTTTATTATAAAAACAAAAACTTCCTTAATAAAAATATTGAAATAGAAAAGCATGTTGCAAATGCTAAAAATAGCCAAATACAATTATATTTATTTTCCTCATTATGGATGAGTACCTTTTCTATTCTAGGATCTGATATCCAAAGATACCAATTGATATTAAATCAGTGTTTCTGAAGATTATGGTCCTGATATAAGCATTGAAGCCAATCTTTTTCTAACCAGTTAGATGATGCTGTTCTCTATACTATACTGTAGTGTAAGTGCAGAGGCGTCCCTAGGGTTAGTGTCACCCGGTGCTGTAACACTTGGTGACACCCCCTCCGACGATCCCCACAGAATGGACCAGCAATACAACTAAATATCCCTATTTATTGCATAGTCCCTGCTTGAAAGGGTATATACCAGTGTGCAGAGGGTCCTTCAGAATTTCTAGTGTTAATATGTGGTTATACCCCTTTAGCACCTGATGGATAAATGCATGCACTAGCTGTTGGGATTTTAGCACAGGTATCTCTTGTTTGTTTTTTGCTTTTTGTAAAAAAGACACCCCAAGGAATTTGATAAGAGGCACAGTGAGTATTTTACAGATATAATTTTTTGTCAATAATTTCTGAAAAATAAAAAAAAAAATGTTGTTTTCTTTCTTCATTGTCCAAAAACATGTGGCAACAAATGAAATCTGCAAAATACTCACCATGGCTCTTAGAATATACCTTGAAGTGTCTACTTTCCAAAAAGGGGCCATTTGGAAGGGAGGGGGCTTCTACTATCCTGGGCCACCATTAGAAGCCTATGTCATATACCACCCACTCTTGAAGACCAAGCCTTTTCTGACACTTTGTTCACAGGAAAAAACAGTTTTTTTGCTAAAAAATTACTATGAACCCCCAAACATTATATATATTTTTAAAGCAGAGGCCCTAGAGAATAAAACGGTGGGTGTTGAAATTTTTTATGTCACACAGTGTTTGCGCAGCGATTTTTCAAACACAAATTGTTTGGGGAAAATACACTTTTTTAATTTTAATGTACAAAAACACAATATATTGCCTGATTGTTTGATACAGTATAAAAGATGATGTTTACGCTGAGTAAATGGATACCAAACATGACATGCTTTAAGATTGCGCATGCCCATGCAATGGCAACAAAGTACATACATTTTTAAATATTGATAGACAACGCTTTAAAAGCTTTTACAGGTCACCAATTTATATTTACACAGGTGGTTAAGTTCTAGAATTACTGCCCTTGCTCTGATGTTCACGAGGATACCTCACACGCATGGTGCAATCTCTGTTTACATACCGACACGGGACCAACGCTTACGTTCGCCTTTGTGCATAAGCATGGGAAAGGGGGAGGGGCAGGAGTGATTTGTTTTTTTTCTTTTTTTACTTGTATTGTTATCACACGAAATGTAAATATCCCCTGTGATAGCAATAGGCAATGGCAGGTACTCTTTTCTGAGAAATCTGGGTCTATTATACTCTAGATATCCCCACTGCCCTTAAAGCATCTGATCACACCAAGATCAGTGTGGTCAGATGCTTTTCCAATTTAAAAATGGTGCTGATAAAGTCCGGCGAAACGGAAATGATGAAATGCTCGTAGCTTCCGGTCTCTTAGACTGTAGAGATGATTGGAGCCATTCTGGTCTCTGATGAGATCTATGGGCAGCCAGCGAAACTGCCAGCTGCATTCTCGGATTCCCCTGTGGGACAGGAGAGCCTAAGAAAACTGTGGAAGGCGGCAGGAGGGGGCATGTCCCTTCCCGCTGCTTGTAAAAATGATCCAGCAGCTAATTCGTGGCTAGGATTGCTTTTACATGAAAGCTGACCACCAGCTGAAAAAAACCATACAGCATGATGCCTGTAGCTGCAGGCATCGTCTCGGTATAACCACTCAAAGTCCAGCGACGTACCAGTACATTACTGGTCCATGTTGGGCATATATGTAACAGCAGAGAACATGTGCATATGATGAATGGTGTCTGTGGACCAATATCACCGCAATTCACTCTTTTTTGTAATACCCATGTTGAGGGTTAGGCCCAAAAAAGTTTTAAATTCAGAAGCCGTATCCATGTGAATTAACTGGCAAGAGCTGAATTTTCTGATGTATTGTTGTGCGTATAAATTGCTTTGGCCCACAATCAATTGGTACAAATCTTTCATGAAAAACAGCATAGGGGCATAACAACGAACAGAGCCGATCCTACTAACGCTGCATTTTTGATCTGTACAAACACTATACTAGTAATGGCAGTGATCAATGACCTATAGTGTGAGTGCGATAGTGTGCGGGCAATCTAATGCTAGCTGACCCTGGCTGGGAGGGGTGCTAACTAACCCTGACACTATCTGATGTCGCTAGTGGCAGGAATACAGTGATCAGTGAAAAATTCTATATACTGACACTGTGCTAATGGTTCTGGCTGGGTGACGGGGTGATCAAAGGGTTAATAGGGGCAATCAAAGAGTTCTATGTGTTAATATAACTAATATAATGGGTGTGTGTAAAGTGTAGTGCTTTTACTCACTGCCATGTTCGTTCTTCTCTCTCTCGACTAACGGTGGGGGGGGGGGCAGGCAGCGGGGGGCGCATGTGCAGTTACACCCTGAAATAGAAAGCAACATAAGATTACATCGCTTTGCCCAAAGCTACTGCTAGCCTGCAAAACGTGGGTAAGTGGTCAGCAAGTAGTAAAAAAAAAAAACCCTTAAAGAATGTTTTTAAAAAATTCTCAATAGTTTTTTTTTATTTATTTTAATTTTTTTTTTTTAATACTTTTATCAAAATAGTACAATGTTACCATAGTAACATTGTAATACTATTTGGGGGGGGGGGTGATCAGGGATTTTTTTTTAAACTTTGCTTTGCAGGAGAAATAAAGATCATTTCTCCTACAATGCAAAGCTTGCTGTCATGAACGTAACTTGTTCATGAACTGTCATGAATGAGTTAGGTTTATGACAGCTCAAAGTAGTGATCTGTGATTGGCTGGAGCTGGTCACATGGTACATGGTGCTGTGATTGGCCCTATCATGTGACAGCTGTGGGTCAATCTGCTCACTAGGAAGAGAAGCAGAGGTGTTATTAATCAGATTGATTGATAACAGCTTTTCTAACATTGTGATCATGTGATTGCATGGCCATCACATGATCACCGGGATCTTTATTTCACTGTATCCGCCAGACACAGAAGTCGTGGGTGGGGAGCGCTGTATGCCGACTCTGGCACGCAGCACCCACCCCCCCGTGTTAGTACAGCCAGAGTGACGTACCTGTGCATATCTTTGCCTGTACCTACCACCCGTCTGCAGTCCATTGCGGGCAGGCAGGCAGGCAGGAAGCAGTTAAAATGATTGTACTAGCAGGTTGATACATTGTGCAGGGGTTAAAGTGTTACTAAACCCACAACAATAAAATCAGTCTGTATATGCAGTGTAGCATGCTTGTTATACTCACTGTGGAACCTAAGGGGTTAATCCTCTGCATTGTGTAACAATGCTGTTTGATCCTGATTGCTCTGATCTTCCCCTTGTTTAAGCGACCACCTCTTATCTCCTGATAAGCAGACTGAACTGTAGGCATTTTGCACATGCTCAGTTTGGCGTGTATTGCTAGAGAGGTTTTTTTCTTGGAAGAGTGCATGTGATCAGCACAGGGCCAATCAGCACTTTCCAGACAGAGGTCCGGGTTATGCAATCTTCTAGAGCAGAAGGAAAACTCCTCCTACAAGCTTTAGCTAGTGCTTAGTTTGATACTGATAGAAGTCACAAGACTGCTCTAACTGCTGATAAGAAAAGGTATTAGGAAGTTTATATTTACTAAAATAATTGCATTTCCATGTTCTGTGTACTGTGGGAGAGCAGATATAGTGAGTGCAGGGTCCTGGGTTTAGTAACACTTTAAGCACCCAATTTGTTTGGGAGGTTGGTGCAAAATAGTGTGGATAATAGTGGCTTTCAGACCTTTATTGCTAATTACAGGAATACTTAATCGCCTCTGTGAGCATGTCCTATCTCCCTCTCTACTCTCATACTCTCTATTTCAGCTTAACTCCCTAGGGCTTGTGCACCTCTTTGCTCTCCTACTCTGTTTAGCACTATTGGTACACTTTCAGGCCCACAGTGTAGGACTGATTTTCTTCTTGCATTCATAAGTACATGTGGGATAAGCAAGGTGGTGACTCAGTTCTAGGAGAATATGCTGGCACACGTGCAATGTGTTCAGTGACAAAGAGAAAACACTACACCTATATGCCATAATCATTGTGCCCTCAAAATGTTTAAAGTGGTTCTAAAGGCTCAAGTTTTTTTACCTTCATGTATTCTATGCATGGAATTAAAAAATCTTCTGTGTGCAATAGTGCCCCCAGCCCCCTCACTACTTACCTGAGCCCCATTGTGATCCATCGATGTGCACAACAGTCTTGGCTGTCCCGGGTCTCTGCCTCCTTATTGGCTGAGACAACCATTGGCTGCTGTCAATCACAGCCAGTCAGCCAATGAGAAAAGAAAAGGGGTGGGGTCAAGCTGTTGCTCCATGTGTGAATGGACACACGGAGCAGCAGCTTGGGAAAAGCCTACTCGGTTGCCCCCATATCAAGCTGCTTGCTATGGGGGCACCCGATAGAAAAGAGGAGCCAGGAGCACTGGCAGGGGACCCAAGAAGAGGAGAATCCAGGTTTCAATGTGCAAAACCACTGCACATGGCTGGTAAGTATAACATGTTTGTTATTTGACAAAAAAAAAATGAACCTTTAGTATCTCTGTAACTAATCTGGCACAAGGGAGAATCTCAGAGACACACATAAACCTATGGACAAAGGATCTTTTTAGAAAAAAAATGGCAATTTGAGATGGGAGCATGGGGAGCAACAACCCCAGAGTTCAGCCTCCTGGGGGGGGGGGGGGTAGGTTCTCCCAAACTATTGGCAGTTGCAGCTATGATTACATATCCCTGTCTGCACACATAATATAGACATAGAATTAGAAATTTGTTTGAGATTATTTGAAAAAATCTAAAATAGTAGAACTACTAAGAAACATGCAACTGGAAAAACAATAAACACTATAATCAGATGTATAGACCCA